AACGTCTCATGCGTTGCCACGTTCGAACTTGTCACCTTCGCGGCTAAAAATATCGCAAATTTTGCAAGTTGGCAAAGTTGGCAGAAATCACCATTATGGATGATTTTTATGAAACTCTCCCAATGTGTGCAGCCAAACGTCTTCTCAAGATGGTAAAAATATATAGCAGCACCACACACTTAGGCAGCTGTGTACCATATTCTTATAAAGTATGCTATAATTAATTAAAATAAATCTCGCACCTCGAGCAGGCTTTAATGGCATTAATTTATGAAATTTGAATTAACGGTTTAATGAATTCCCCACTAATCAGCCCGTTTCTGCTTTGCAAGAATTGAATCTGTCGCCGGCTCTCAGCCACATTATAAATTCGCATTTCGGCACTATTAATATGCTTTAGTCAAGTACATCAGTCAGATTATGATAAATCATCCATCAGGCGCGTGATTGAGAAATGTAATTAACATGTCTGTATTGGTTACATATTAGATAACGAAAGATATTCAGAAACGGGCAAATAATGGAGTTTAGTGTGAAGAAAAATGCAGGCGAGTTCTGTTCGGTTTTGTTAGGCAGATTTGTGATTAAACTTGACTGTTACTCAGACTCGAGGGCCCCAGGGAAATTAATTATTCCTGGGACCTTAACGAGTCGCACTCCGATTTCTTTTCTTTGAAACTTCTCTAAAAAGCCCCCGTTCGTTATATTTAGCATGTCAAATCTTGCGCCAATCGCGTTTCATTCTGGGAGACTTCCAGTCAGCAGATTGGCAGTTTAATACACATTTTCCTTTTTTGCGATAATTAAAAATGAGAGTTCAACCGACTAGAGCTTTCCAGTCGCTATTTACCACTAGCAAATAAATCCTGTCGAGGCTTCTTATAAATAATTGGCACTCTGTTCGATTCTCAAAAGAAACTCGGCCTAAGTAAATGCGGATCCCATTTGATTCCCCGGATGCGGATCGCAATGTAACGAATTTCAACGTCAACTTTATCGGTCTTAAAAAGTTCGCCTTTGAAATATGCTGGAAACTTAACTCATTTGAGGAAAGGCGAACGGAAATAGCAATGCAAACTTTGCCGGGAAACTGATAAGAGGATTTTTGCCGAGGGCTGAGGGCGGCTTATCTAAAGTTTCCAATATTTGTTAATATTCCGTCCCATTCGTCAATGGTAAAAAACCTCAAAGCCTCCAGCTTTTCAGCGTAATTACTTGAAGGTGCCAATAAACTCAGTTTAAAATTCAACTGGCTGATTGATGGATCTGTTTCATAATTTAGAGGCACCTGACTCCCACTTATACTAATTAAGCTTGCACAATACAAGCCGTATCTGCTCGCTTCGGACATGCGGGAGAGAACGGGAATACTTTATAAAAGCGAAATTTATTAAAGAGCGCCCCGAGACACGCTAATCCCAAACAGCGATGATTAATTGACCGGGCGGGCTAAGAAATTTCTCCATTTTTTGCCGGAGGCAAAAATTCCCCAAGAAAATTAAGTTTTGCAACTTACCGAGAGGATTATCCCAATGTTGTTTGTTTCGCAAAGTAAACCATCCCACTGGAAGATTCTGTTCAAAATGCGCGAAAAACTTTTGGTTCGGAACGCCGGGGTTTGATGCGTGAGAGTTTGGTCTTTTGCCCGGAAAATTCGCGCACTTTATGAGAGCGAAACTTTGCAGAATGTGGTAATGTCGGTGAGGAGTTTGCGCGTTTGCCGTTTTTTTGCAATACGAGCTTTTGCAGTCCTGATTGGTAAACAAAAAACAACTATTTGAGTAGAAAATGCATTGTAGTCGCTAAATTATGATTAAGAATTAGAAGCGCTGGATTCAAACTGACATGTTTTGGGGTCCTTCAAGCTCATATACTGTTTGGAACGCAGTCTGTCTGAAGGAGACGATTTTTAATAACATTTTGGGGCTCGATGGCTGCGGGGAAGCCGAGCAGAGCCTTCTGTTGCATTTGCATTTGAAGCAACTGGTCCTTTTTGCTCAAAAACAGCAAAGGTTTCACTTTTCAATTTTGATTTAATATGTAAGGCAATAAAATCTGGGCCAAACTTACGAGGGTCAGAAAACTCGCAAATCAATCGAACTGTTGCAAAATTCGTGCCCATTTCATAATTCCACCGTCATTAAATAAACCGGACATTCAGATTCCAGAACGGTTGCGAAAATCTCATCCTTTTCATATTTCGACCTTTATTTATTAAAACAGATTTTTCCATTCCGGAACGCAGCACGCATCGGTCCTCTCATTCCCACGCATGGAAGTCTAACGACAATCCCGATGGCCTGCGTGATGCTGCGTTCGAACTTGATACCTTCACCGCTTAAAATAATTCAGTTTTATGATAATTTCGAATTACTCAAAAGTCGGAGCCCAGTTAATTTACAAGTAAAACCCTGTAAAAGTATGGAATAATTGATAATTTAGGGTATTTTTATCAGATCAATTATGTCGTGTGTGATCGGAATTAAATGTCCGAAATCTGCTGGTTCATTTAAAATCAGGCAAATATTAATTTTCGTTCGCCTGTTGTTAATAAATGCGCCGTTGCCATCTCTCCATCTTTTTTAAGGTAAGGGATTTGTTCACCTGGCAAGAAAAGAATGAATTCTGTTTAAAATGTGCGAAAAACCGGTTTTTCAGTGACAATTTTTTTTACCTCAAAATCCAATATTAAAACTTCATTCTTATAGGAGTAACTTTTCTCTATATGTAGAATCCTTCGACGCGTGAGAATTTATTTTTTTTTTGGTTTTCCAGATTTTAATTTTTCAATGAGAGCCGTTCAAAATTGTTCGTTAAAAATGGCGAAGTTTGAAAAATTGCTCTGAAATTCGTGATGATGGTGCAAAATTGCTTGGAAAACCGTTTTTGTCAAGATTCTTTGAAAACTGCGCGCGACAAATTCGATTGGAGCCACCTGTGCAATATTACAGTATTCTATAATCGATACATTCCACAATCTGCGCTTAGACGTCCGAGTAGAAGATGGCGCACCATGTCTATGAACGTGTTTTGAAGGAATATTCAGCGATTTCTCACTTGGGAGTTTCCGGCAAAGTCTGTTGCAATGGAAGCAAACAATTTGATATTTGGGATTTAGTGCAATTCACTGAACTTCCCATTATTTATTTGATTTTATCCTATATTTTACCATCAACCCGTGATTGCGAGTATAGTAGGCCCGTTTTGCGACAGCCCAATGTATTTGCGGCCAAACTGGCAGGCCTACAAGCGCTAAATCGCCGGTTATACCTGAGATTCGCCAATAGTTTTTCCACAATTAAAGACACTATTAAACAATAATATTAAAGTGACCAGGAAGAAAAACTCGCCAGTTTTATTCATGCGAAACAAATTCAAGCATTTTAAATACCGACAATTTCAATTATTTTCTTAAATTATTCAATGATTGGTATTAATTGAACTGAACAGAACACAACCTTTGACAGTGTCATTGAAGGACAAGTACGGAAATTGATATGCGGTTTCAGCAAAACAACTCGGATTTATTACGATAATTATGCTCATTGCATAAATGCATAATTAAATTGTTAAATGATTATAAGCCTAAGTGCGATCGCGGGCAAAAAAACCTATTACTTAGCTACGGCTAGTTAACGTGCGCAATCTAATGAAGCAAAATGTTTTTTGCACTTTTTCTCACTGTCCACGCATCATCGGCGCCGTGATTTCCACTTTCTAGCCTTGATTTCGACCTATTCTGAAGGTTACAAAACCCATTTCCTTTTCCAAAAACAACCTAATTTATTTCTCCTCACCGCTAAATTTATCACAGTCATGTTCAAGCTAAAAACCGTCGGAACTACTCCAGCTTCTTGGCAGCTGGTTTCACTTGGGGCAGACACAGTTTCTGCAGGGCCAAACAGGGAAATTCCACTAAAATCGTCATCACTGTTCCAAGGCCAAACGCCGCAAGCAAGTCGAAGGTTAGCCAGGAAACCTGCAATTTCATTAATGATTAAGCCAAACATTGGTGCCAGTTTCCATCATAAACTAAGCAAAACTCTCGATTAAATAAGTGGAAACTCACTAAGTCCTGGGCGTGGTAGGGCAGCAACTCATCGAGGAAAAAGCCCTTTGCAAAAACCACATAGAAGTGAAAAACGTAGGTGCAAAAAGTCACATTGCTCAGAACCACCAGAACGCGAGCCTCCAACAACGCCTTCACCGGGCCTGGAAAACTCATCTTTTCACTAACCTGGAGGAACTAGAAAACCCAAATACCTCCAAGCCCAAAGGCCATGCCCAAAACTCCCAGTCCCAACGGGAAGACGAACAGGGGCTTGAGGATGGCGCCTAGAATGCTGCCAGCCACTCCAGTGAACGAATATGTGGAAAGGTGCAACGATAGGAGAGGGACGCACCCAAAAACCATCCACCACATTTTCTCCTGGTCCTGGAAAACACGTTGATGGACTGGGACCGATCAAACCCCCCATGGGGACTCACCGGGTTGACCTTCACGCTCTTCTCCAGCTTGTTGGAGTAGTAGATGTGCCCCAGAATGACCCCAAAGAGGCTGCTGGGCCAGCTGGCCAGAGGAGGCACATAAACCCCATTCATGTCCTTGGAGAATGTCATGGTCTTCAGTTCCCTAGCACAACCTCCTGTTAGGTACCTACAGAAAAACACCTCCTTCCAACTTACTGGGGATGCGGCCGGAACATGTAGCTGTAGTCCTTGACTTGCAGATAAACAGCAAAACAGCCGATGAGGATCAGAATCAAACGCGCGGAGAGCCTTCGCAGGTCCAGATGGAGGTTCAGCGCCAGATAGAGGATCAGCAAAGTGCTGCCATAATACAGAGTGTCCACTGAGAGGTACCACATTCCAGGAGTGCACTGGAACAGTCCCAGTTTATCCCGGGGGACAGTTTATTGGGGTGGCTACTTACTATCTGGGAGAAGGGGATGAGGAAGGTGGTTTGCAACAGGGTGCGCCACCAGTTGCATCCACAGCTCGGAATGTAGACGTTCCGATTGGCGATCGTGTGTGGGGAGTTGTCGTATATCCCCATCCAGGTGGTGAAAATGGAGAACAACAGCACTGGCATCAATCTAGGAGAAAACAGGTTTTTCATTGCACCCAACTGGCGGACTCAAAAACGCTGAATCAGTCACCTGACGACTCGATTCAGCATCATAATGCAGCAGTCCTGCAGGCTAAAACGCCCGTTTCTGCTGAACATCTGCAGAATCTGATTAGTTAGCAGGAAGCTGGAAATGAGGAAAAACATCTGCACACAAAGCCCGCCCAGATACATCAAGTAGTGGACCAGGGGATGCTCGAAGTTCTACAACAATTACAGTTCACAGCGTTTCGGAACGATCATTATCATCAGTACCTTTTCCAGTTGTTCCACGTCAGTCATGTAGGTTTGGCTGAGACTTACTGCGCAATGCCACGCCACCACCACGCCCATATTGAACACCCTGATGCCCTGAACCGACTTTAACCGTTGAAAGTCCGGGCTGCGGTTTTGCTCGAACAGCTTCTGAGCATTTCTGATCACCGAGAAGTTGTGGCACCAATGGGAGGCTGGAAGGGGCCACTTGAAGGTGCTCAAGCTCAGGGGCCGAGGATTCAAACTTACATGCTTTGGGGTCCCTCAGGCTTCTATAGTGGGCGCGGGTGGCTTCCAGAGTAATCAGCAAGTAGGTTGCGATGATTAGCCTGCAACAAGGGTAATTCTTGCAGTGTTTTCAATTTAAATGAGGAGAGGTTGCTGCAGGAGACGATCTTCTGTTGCATTTGCATTTGAAGCAGCTGGTCTTTTTCACTCAAAAACAGCAAAGGTATGGAAGGCAATGAAATCTGGGCCAAATTGATGACGGTCAGAAAACTCGAAAATCAGTCGAACTGTTGCAAAATTCGTGCCCATTTCGTAATTCCACCGTCATTAAATAAACCGGACATTCAGATTCCAGAACGGTTGCGAAAATCTCATCCTTTTYATATTTCGACCTTTATTCATTAAAAYAGATTTTTCCATTCCGGAACGCAGCGCGCATCGGTCCTCTCATTCCCACGCATGGAAGTCTAACGACAATCCCGMTGGCCTGCGTGATGCTGCGTTCGAACTTGATACCTTCACCGCTTAAAATAATTCAGTTTTATGCTAATTTCGAATTACTCAAAAGTCGGAGCCCAGTTAATTTACAAGTRAAACCYTGTGAAARTATGGAATAATTGATAATTCAGGGTATTTTTATCAGATCAATTATGTATGATCMGAATYAAATGTCGTTTGTTCAGTTGGCCCGATGCTAATAAACGCGCCCTTGCCATCTCTTTTAAGGTTAGCGCTTTGTTCACCTGGCAAGAAAGGAGTGARTGGAACTGTTCCGGCTGCTTAATAYCAACAAATGCCCACTTATCTGAAGATGGGACAATGACAGGGTTTAACGATGCTTTATGCTCGGATAAGGCTTAACTTCTCAACGTAAATCTGAAGGAAAAACCCCATTGGGCTAGTTTGCACATCTACCGCCAATAGACAAGTCGCAGCTCTGGAAAGTGGCTTAAAATCGGCCATTTGCATTTGGCCAGAAGAAAAACTCCTTTACTAGTGACCGCGAAACCAACCATCACCAAAAGCCTCATAGAATTTCGGGTGCACTTCAATTTTCGAGCAGTGTGCATGCCTGGATTGTTGGACGGTTGTTTGCATGCAGCGCTCCTGGACCAGAAGGGTTAAAACACACCGATCGCAAATTGAAGTGTTGGATAAAGCGAGTTTTCTTACCAGATGATGGTTTTTTGATAGGGAAACTCCCACTGTTGCTCGCATTGCACTTCATCTAGCTGCACTGTGAAATTGAAGCCGTGCAGTTCGCCTGCAATTACTGCATTTCCATACTCAATTGTGTCAATGGAGTTGGGAACGCACAGCATGCGATTCAAAATGCTCCTGTCGAACCTTTGCGGGTTGTTTTCAGTTTCCTGGAAGAAAAGTGGTTGTTGATCAAAAAAGGGTTATAAGCATGGAAACCTACCAGTATTTGCGGCATTTTCGTGTGGACTTTAAAAGTGAACAGGCAGTAAGTGCTGGTGTTTCTGGGGCAGTTCTTGTAGTGGTCCATGCGATACATTGGCGGAAAGACATTGTCTGCAAACAAAAGCACTGAATGTGGATTGAAGATTGTGAGGGATCGAGTCGCACCAGGGAGGCATGAAGCGTCCCCAAGCTCAACCAAAAGAACCAAGAGCAGAAACCGCTGAAGAAATTGAGCCATTCGAGTGGTCAGCACCGAGTGAACATCTACGAATGAGTCTATCTGACGATCGGAAAAGTCTCCGCAGATTTGAACAGCCACATAATAATTGCATAAGATCGACATTGTAATCTGAATTATTGGTTGTTGTTGTGGGGGGATTTTCTTTAATTGCCGAGCTGCTGGCGTCACTGGCTCTCTGAATTGTTTAGAAGCCGGCAGGCGATTGGTCGATTTACCTCAAGAAAGTATCCGCCGACCTGCTAATTGAATCTGCTTATGTAAAACTCCAAGGTTCAGGTGTGATTAGGAACTTTCATTCGGCACTATTCAAACGGCGCGTGTTGCCTTAATGTGGACATAATGGATCTCGGTGAACTTGAGGAGGATCGGTAAAGTTTTCGGCCGTTGCAGCGATTTGCGTAGAAATTATTGGATTGGTTATTTTGCAAATTGCAGCGCACTTGGTTAAATGTTTTTTTTAAAATAACTAGTTGCCTTAGTGCTGCGGGTTATTTATGTTGACATGTTTACTATTGGAAAGGTGCATTTAAAGTGCATTTTATGCAAAGCGTCACGTTCTCATGTAATTTTATTTGCGGGAAAACCTTGCGCACATTAACACGCATAACCGGCGATTTAGCGCTTATAGGCCTGCCATTTTGGCTGTGTTTGCATTGCGTTGTCAAAAAAAGGCCTACTATACGACCAATCGCGGTGAATTTGATGTGCAACTCATGAAAAGCATCGGGAGTTGAACTGCGAAAAACCTTTGAATCCTTCCCGCATCTTTCAAATATTTACTGGCTGTTGTTGATGGCTTTTCAAGCTTATTAACTCCGCGTCTATTAACGAGTGTACTTTGACATGTGCACTAATTCCCATTTGTCGGTTTACCACCGTCCAAAAATTATTTAAATTGCTCGTTTTTTCAGGTATTTGCAAAAAAATGGATGCAGATCATTAACGATGAGTGAGTTTTTTTGCATAAATTGCACTCTAATTGACTAATAATGACGCGAGTTGAACGAAGGATGGTGGCGCTGCGAAACGTCAAATTACTGGTAGTTGAGTGACAGTTGAGACTGTCAGACTTGTTTATTTATTGGCGTTGATGACTTTTATAAGGTAAAACAATACTTACACCTTTCGAATGGTTTCTGTTTGTTTAAAATCCTGGAAAAGTTGCAAAATAACATTGTTATATCGCTTATTTTATAACTTTTCGGCGAGACAACA